AGCCTGTCACTAAAAGCATTGTAGAGGTCAGTTGTTGATATGAGTGAAATTGTGTTACTGGGTCTTGTTCTGTATTAATGGCCCAAGGTATTAGAGTATCTCTGTTATGAGGGAGACAGTGGATGAAATCCCTTGGCAAATGTGGGTGCCATCCCTTTTAAGTAGCTAAACAGTCCTTCAACTGAAATCCCTGAACTCTAAAGAAGCAATAGGAAGCTGTTCCAGACTTGGACAGTGGAGAAGCTGAGAAAAAGAGTATCTAGTACAGATGTTTCAACAGTTCACAGCTCATGAATGCTTGAATGAACAGTGTAATGATTAATATTGCTGATACAGAAATGTTGTTTATTAGGGTTTAAAGTTGTTTTCCTGAAATCTCTACATTCACAGTACAGCTTTCTAAAAGCTCTGTTCCAGATGTTCTGAAGTTGGAGGAAGAAATTGCTGAACTGATTACTTGCAGTTTCCACTGCAAACAGTTCTCCACAATCATAACTGCTTCAAGGACTGCTTAAAAATTGTTTCTGGAGTACCATAATCAGCCACCAGGCTGAGCCACTGTGAACCAGGCCAGTCTTGCCATACATCTCTTTTAATATGAAAAGAAGAAACAAAAGAAGATGCTTCATCAGATGACATTTTCTTTTCCAACCTTGTTACAATTGGGAAGAACTCAAAATTCACTCTTTTGGTGTGATTTAGGAGCCAAGAGCACTAGAAGTGGTGGAGGAGGGGATCAGGTCTGTGCCTCACGAGCATTCATTCTTAGCTGATGCCTCAAGATCTCCTGAGCATTTTGGCAGATCTATTCTGCAGTCTGTTTTATTTTAATTAGGACTAGTAGGGCATATTCATGATTGATTATGAATTCATTGCATGTTAGACACCAGAAATTAGATCCACATAGACTATTATACAAAGGAGAAAGTGCAGCTATTCAAAGATAACAAATTCATTGCATTAAGAGTTCCATTATACCCATTCTACAGATAGGGAACTTGTGCAGAGAGGAACCAAGTGATTAGTGTAAAGTCTGATAAGATACTTGTGAGAGGTCAGGACTTGCACCTAGATCTTTCACACTGTGGTCAGTGTACTCTCAACAGCATATTTTTTCCTGGTTCTGGCAGCTACACAGTAAATTACACACAGATGAGGACAAAGCAGGGTATGGGTAATGAAAGAGAGAAATAGCAACTGATGATACTACTTTTTTCTTTCCAGGAGCTTATTCAAGAGCAAGTTGAGGTGAGTTGCCATTCTCTTTTCAAGTTGACTATAATAATGCAAAGTTTACTGCATGAACCAAAGGGACCAAGTGTGTTAAAACTCAAATGAGAGAGATGGAATCCACTAGCTTTTCCTCAATTTTAATTTCCTTTGTGTTATGGTTCTTCCTTTTTCTTATATTAAATGGAAAGTAAGATGATGTTCCCTTACTGCTTTTAGCTAGTGCAGAGCACAGGAGGAAGAACACGAGGGACACTGCCTCTGACATTTCTGAAGGTGTTAGCTTCCCAGGCCTGTCATGGTAGGGAAACTATACTTTTCTTTTTTTCTTTTAACCCTTTTTTTTCTCTACACAATATCCTCCCTGGGGAAGTGGTTTCAAATGTCTTTGCAGGAATTCCAGGACTACAGACTGTGTAGGGATGTCTACATAGTGATGAAGAGAGAATGTTATGGTCAGCACTGTGAGGGACAAGCAGTACTGCTTTGATTTATCCATGTATGGGCCTAATGTGATTTCCAGCCCTCACATGAAACACAAATAAAGTTCTGAGATACACTCATCCATGTGAGTTCTGAACCCTTCCAATAACAGCTCTGTGAAGGGGCAAGGGGAGGTGTTAGAATCTGCTTGAAAGCAAGCAGGAAAGAAGACTTAGACACTCTACCCAAAAAATATTTTTTATTTCATATAAGTATCAAAAGTACTAGTTTAAGTGTGCCTGGGATCTTTAAAATATTTTTGGAAGGAGTGCAGTAAGAATTTACATCTTCTAAGGGACTATGCCTTTCCAGCACCTGGAAGTGAGCACTTCTTACAGGTATAGACTGCAGTAGCTCTAGCCTCTTGTGGCAGTTCCTGTGCCATATAAAGTATTAACAAGATTATGCTGAAGGGGTAAACATAAGCCAAAAGCGTCTATTTTCAATGCATCCTACAAATGGCAGGTAATTTATAAAATATTAAATATATTAATGTTTTTATCTAAGGAAGTCCCATGGCTGAAAGGCAGATGGTCTTGTGTGTCAGCAAAGGCTAAAGATTGCAAAACCATCTGAAATTACTCTTTAATATTCTGTTTGGATTTCCTCTGTATGCCATTAATTGCTCACATGTAAGAAAGGATTTATTGGCAGGGCTGGCATTCGATCTTGGAACTGATTCCTGTCAGGAGCTGGCCCATTGAACCAGTAAAACCTATGGAACTGACGTTAGCCATCCTCTTGGTTTCATACTTAAATTTGTGAACTGGTTGTGTCTTCAGCCATAACACACACACAATTAAAAACAAAACGAAAAAAAATTTTACCATCCATCAGACTTGGGTTAGGTGAAAGTTTAGGCCATAGCAAGCTGATACTTACACAGCAGGCTGGTTTAATTTTGCTAAGCCAGAAGTCTGCCATACTGCAGCTTCCCAGGTAATCTTTGGGAGCTGCCTTGTTTTCTATGAAGAGCACAGTGTGGAGGGAAGGCTGCTGGAGGCTTGCATCCTCTTTGGCAGCGCCTGCAAGAATTTGTATCTTTTTTTCAGGCGCTATCAAGTTCAATGAGCATTTGACTTTGGAGGAGAGCTGCAGGCTTATTGAAGCTTTATCATCTTGCCAGCTTCCCTTCCAGTGTGCTCACGGAAGACCTTCCATGATGCCTCTTGCAGACACAGAACATCTACAGCAGGACAAGCAGGTACTATGCAGGACACAGATATACCTCTGATAATCCACACTCTGGATTAGCAGAGGCATGTCATGTATGCACCTGTTGAAACTAGAATGGGCCAGTTTGAAACCATCACCACTGGCTTTATCTTACTTGAATATTTTACACAGCTGTTATCTGTAAGATAAAACTTCAGGACATAAAACCTCTGTCCTGCAAATACTTTAGCAAGGATCTTACCGTATTGCATTTGAATAGTACATTGACTTAAATGGCATCCACTAATCTTAATCAAATACTTAAAAGTGTTAGCAGATTTTAAGTGTAAAACCTGGAAAACATAAATTCTGATACTCTACTAGTGGCAAACAAAGATGCTAATTAAACAAACACCTACTTCCTCAAAGTTTAAGATGCTATGATATGGGGGAAAAAAAAGAAAAAAATAGCAACATTAAAAAAAAAGTCATTACTCCTTCCCTTTTGCTATTACTGTGCTGTAATAAGTTATGAAATTGAATTCTTTTGAAAGTCAGGTGGGACTTTGAATTAGATATTAAAACCCTCAGAAATTACGCTATTAGGGCAAAGAGTATGAAAGCATTGAAGCTCATTTACTTGGTTATGATTTAATGCTTCTTAATTTTCCTCCCTCCAGCCCAAGCCCAACCTGGCTAGACTGCGGAAGATGGCCCGAGCATGGCACCTCTTTGGAAAAAAAAGAGCCTAATCAAAAAAAGCAGACTGTAAGCTGCAACCACCTGGTATTGCTGTTGGTATGAGCCAGGCCCCCTGTTGTTAGACCTCAATGCCCTGTGTGGAGCCAAGTTTCTGAGCCACTGCAGTCACTGAAGTTCTGCTCCAAGTACTGACCTAAGCAGCAGAGACCAGCCAGGAGAACATGACAGGAGGAGCCCACCCTTGTAGCTTGAAGAAGTGTCTTCACATCGAGGAACTGCATCATAAGCCGGCACCTTATTATCAGTGCCATTCACAGTTACTAAAGTGCTTTTTTTTTTGTCTGCAAATGCAGCACGATTCTGTATAAGAGAGACTTTAATTTATTTTATAGTGCTTTGAAAATGGGGAGGTATTTATTAATAAAATTAACACAAAGCTCTTTCCTTGGGCTCATGGCAGTAGTTGGAATGAAGACTGACCAGCTTCATAGTATGTGTAGGCCACCTCAGGAGCAGAAAACATTCTTTTTATTTAACTAGGCAATGAATGACACACCCAGCCATTTTCTCCAGCTCCTTGCTGTTTGCATTCTTGAGTAAGAGATTTCTAAATCCTAGCACAGCCCCATCTTCTGAGGGTACAGAAACTTACCCCACAGAAGTAACTAAATAGCCCATGGCATTTTTCACAATAGGCAGACATTTTTTTTTACAGGTTCAGTTCTTTTTACTGTCTCAGTCTAAGGTAGAGGAGTAGAGTTCATTTCAAAATGGAAAAAGATGATGTCTTTGTTTAATCACAAACATCCAACTTAAAACCAAATCAGAGATATACTGACACCTGCTCAATCAAAAGCAAAACAAGGAGTGGAAACTGCTTTCATCTGATGCCTTAACTGTCATGTAGTGTATCGCCATGCACTGATAAAAGGGACTAAGGAAAAGTGATCTGACTGACCTGCAAGAGCCTGATATTTCTAAGAAAGATGTTCCATGCTGCCTATCACAAAAATAAAAAACTTCCCAAGTAAGACCAGATGCCCACCTAGGAAGATTAATCGCAGTCACCCAATTAGTACAGGAGAGGAAAGACCCCCAGACTACAATCAGTGAATCAAGAGCTTGAGCTCCGCCTTCCAACATAGAGGTGAACGCGCTGGCTGATGGAACTTCTCAAGGTCTGCCTTTCATCAAGAATGGAATTTCCGTTCCAGCATTTACAAAAAAGCTGGTATTTCAGCAACTCACCAAAAATTGTCAGAAAACTCTACCCAAAACATCCCTTTTCAAGACAATTGCCAATGAATTCATATCTCACTCGTATGTGAAAGCACACTTTAAAGCCTGCTACTGCATCATGGGTGCAGGCAACTCACTACACTGGTAAAATGCCTGTTTGTTAGTTAAAGAAACAAATAGGGAAAATATGCTAAACACTGTAAACAACCTTTATCACGGCATATTTTGAAGTAACAGGTTAGATGCTCCAGTTACACGTAGGCCTTGCTGTTTCAAAATGGAAGTGGGTTTTCAGAGCTCCACATGGCTTTTAACACAGCACAGATCAAAATCTGTGTAAGAGTTCTGCCTTTGTTGCTTTTGGGTAGGAAGGACATTGCTGAGCAAATTCCTCACAGCAACACGTCTTTGCAACGTACACTTTAATTAGCTGTTGTATCTTTCTAAAGAGAAAGGAAGAGTCTGGAGACTGACATGCTTTATGGCATTAGAGTTCATAGTCATCTGGATGGTAGAGCTCACTCATGAGGCGGTAGATGTAGGAAGGTGCATTACCCCCAATGTTAGAAATGAAGAGAGTAATGAGCTCTGGAGGGACGTAGTCAAACACTGGGCAGTGAACGTTTATCTTTGCCAGGATCTCCCCTGTAAAGTGAACAGCAGCAACATTAGGCAGAACAACTCAAAGGAGCATTCAGTCTTCTGCACATCTTCCCGAGTCCCTGAAGAAACTGGCTATGCATATGCCACCCTGCCGTCAGTGATGGAATTTCCTGAATACTTTCCAACTTCCTCACTGATGTCACTGAATTACAGGTACACAGCAACCTTGGGTGGATGGCAGCACTTCTTTTGATAGGTTTTACTGATAAAAACTCCAGATCCTCCCAATTTACTAACTGCCAAAAGAAATGCCAGTATGTAATCAGAACGCAAGAATCCCAATGCTGCAAAAGTTATTCTTTAAAGAAAAGCTCAGAAGTCTGAACCAAAAAACCTTTGTCAAACCTGGTATCTTAATTTCAGAAGTCTCTGTCACATAGAAATGGGGCTCTGAAAGAGACTGCTGTCTGAAAACAGGCTTGGGAGCTGATGCCTTTCTAAATACGGTGCTTGTGTGGAAGCCCACTGCAAAGATACTGGGTTTCAACCCAGTACCTCATAACCAAGTTTCTCATAACCAACTTTCAAGAAGTTAGCATGAGTTGTAGGAAGGAACAGAAACCTTCATTGTTGGGCATCTGTTCTGTCCCACAGGAAACTGCCTGGCACCATTGTGACAATCCTATAATAAACCACTATTTCAGAGCAGAAGCAAAAGTGCAAAGATAGTGTTCAAAGGAAATCCTTTTTCTGTACTTTCTGTAATGGAAAGTTACATATAAAACAGAATGGTTCCCAACATCTTTTTTTCCTGTGTAAGAAAATAGGAAAGGATTTTCTGTCTTGGGCTACAGGACAGTCTCACGTTTAAATTTGTGTGAGGGTCTAGTGGAGAGTGTCCCTGCCAACGGCAGGAGGGTTAGAACTAGATAAGGTCCCTTCCAACCCACACCATTCCTTGATCTTATTACAGAAAAAAAAATAAATAAAAGTTATAGTACCTTCTGTGAATGGCAGCACTTCCTGTGGTGACACAAACTTGTAGAATGAATCTTCTTCATTAGGGAACTGAAGGAGAAAGAGTACAGAAAGGTCATGAAAAGGAGACCACTTCGTTATCCTAGTGAAAACATATCCTGGGTGCTGGAAGGAACTAAAGCAGAGGAAGATGACTTGCCAGGTGACACTACATCTGTCTACAATGATTACACAGCTCCTGTGCCTAGAACCTCTGTAACATCTACAAGTGAAAGGTTTTTCCTCAGGGCTTTTAGAGCCTTCTATGACCTGGCTGCCCTTCTGCAAAGCCTAGGGAACTGGAGCAAAGAAGTGACTTCCTCATCTGCAATTTCACCTGACAATACTGAGAAAGTACTGAGTGTAAGAAACAGTTTAGAGCATTTCTATCTCTACCACCTCTGTCAGTACACAGGGTCTTTCAATGCTGAACATGGAAACTGAAATCCATTGTGGCTGAACAGTAAGTATAGTGATGTCAGTCTCTACTAGGCAGTGGTCTACATCCTTATACCCAATGCACTGCTTACTCAACATGTGTGGCAGAGGAGGGTGCTTCAAGGAGATCCTGAGGTGTGCCAGATATGGGTGACAATCTCCTCTCTGAAGCAGCAGCACTCCATGTGGGAGATGGCACGTTTACCAACCTCACCTTGGGACAGATTGTGCTCTCCAATGTAATATCCCATAAGCATAAAATCACCCCCATCTCTATGTAGAGCAGGTGCAGTCCTGCGGAGCTGCTGTACATACCTGTGGTGAAAGCTTGAACATGGGGGCACACACGATGAGCGGAGTGGAATGGTGCTTAGCTGCCAGTGCCAGAGTGTGTGTCCCACTCACAGCAATCAGGGCGCCGTTGGCCAGGATTGTCTTTGTACCAATGATGACCTTAAAAGGCAAATCAGCATTAGCTAACATGTTCCACAGCAAACTGGGGAAGGAAAGCTTCCTGGCTTGGATGCTGCCGGATGAGCTGGAGGAGGAGTCTGTCAGAACAGCCAGCCAGCCAGCGGCTGGAGTTACAGGGCAGCTGGATGCCTCATCTGTTTCATCTGGCACTGGCTCTGCACCGAGGTGTTCCCCTCTAACAACAGCATGACTCCAGCATGGTGAGGCCAGCACAGAAAACTTGAGAGGACAAATGTATGTTCTACTGCAGGGAACACCAAGCAGAAACTGGGTTGTGTTCCCTCCTGTTTTACAAGCCTGCAAAAGTAAGCTTTGTGCAAGTAACTTGACTGCTGGCTGCAATCTCAATGTAAAATGGTGTGGCTGGATTTTATTATGTTACAAGTACCTTTTTGGTTGGTGGTGATTGGCAGGTTTGGGTTTTTTTCTTTGTTTTTTCTTTCTTTGTTTTGTTTTAGTTTGGGGTGCCAAGTTTTCATCTCTAAAAGTACAGAAGAGAGGTCTGTTCAAAAAGGCACACTTTGGTGATTCCCTTCACCACCCATCTTGTGTTCCAGGCAATGGGTTTCTCCCCTTTGGAAATGCTGCTTCTTGTTCTATTTTCTTTAAAAACTGAGGCTAATCCTTTGAGGGTTTTGTGGCTTAGTGTCTTGTAACTGTGCTGCCTGTTAGCCACTAAGGCAGAAAAATCTACCAGCATGCAGTTAGTCACCATCATACTGACTCAGGCTTCCACACTGAATCTCCACCTCAGCTGTAAGCAGGGCCTATTACAATTTTGAGTCTTCAGTGAAGAAATGCATCCATCACTGCTGGGACCTGCAGCTGGTTTGGGATTCCCAAGCACCAAGCCTGCTGTGAACTCCCTCCTCCAATGGAGCGCTTCTTACCTTATTGACTCGGGACATGACAGCAAAAATAGCTGCATCACTCATGACAGTAGTTTCAATGTTCTCTTTAGACAGTCGGACAGCCATTTCATGACCCTAAAAAGAGGAATAATCCAATTGGTCCCCTGGACACAGCTCCTGCAGCGCAGCTGTAGAGACATTAGCACTCAATTCTTGTCAGAACTGCAAAAATAGTGAGTGACAGCACAAACAGAGCCCTTTCCCTGATGGACATGGGGTAGGCCAACGAGTGGTCTTCAGTCTCTCAACTGCAGAAGAATTTCCATAATGCTCAGCTTGCCTCCAGAGACAAGAGCTCAGTAAGATCACATGGCACAGCGGAGCACCTGAAGACAGCCAGCCTGGGCCTTACCTGGCAAAACGGTGCACACTCCGCTACAATGACCTGGAACTTCCTCTTGCGAGCAGCTTCCTTCAGGAACGCCTCAACAGTGCGTGAGTAGCCAATAGTCATGATCACCTCATTGGAGTGGATGTGCTCCAGCGCCTGCATAGCAATGTTATCAGTGGTGCCCTCTGTAACAGAATTAAGCCATAGATGGAAAAGCAACACTGGTGCTGCTAGACCTGTCCTGCAAGATCATTTTTTACTAAAGCAATGCTATAAGCACTGGTAGAGCCAGAGCAGCTTTTCTCCTTGTTCTTTTTACCAGTGGAGAGGGACCACAAAGCTGGCCCTTCAATGCCCCATGCTCCCTAGCTATTCATAGAAATAGCTGTACTGAATGAGGGGGGTGGACTGTGTCAGCGTTGCTCCAGACAGCACCATGCCCGCACAACTAGTGGCAGAAACTCAGTGATTTTACAGTTCAGTAGCACCAGAACCACATAGAAAGGAGAAGCAGAGCAACCTAGGCCTCCCCAGAAGAAGGGTCAAGTGCCTGATCTATCACAGGATCACAGAAGAACGTATCGCCATGCTTTGTGACAAGGGCCAGGTCACATGCCCATGGATTAAGTCCAACCTTGGCATATTTTTGATACTCTTTTTCAGAGAAGTCAATTTAAGACTTCCCAGAAGACCAAGAGCACATGCTAACTTACCCTCCACAATGTCCCACCCATCTCCCTGCAAGCCAAAGAGGATTTAGTATTAGTCCAGGGAGCAGCAGGACTTCTATTTCTTAGTTCCTTCAGATTAAGCCTCCCAGAACCTTGCTGTTTAACTTCCACCTAAGAGGAGGTGGAAGCATCAGTCCTATCCCACAGAAACTCCACTCCTGGGGCAGTTCAGACCCATCCCTACCTAGCTCTATTAGTAGCTCGTTAATAGCTTCAATAACATTAGCTCTGAGGGGGGGATAAGGGGTGCTGAAATCCTCGCTCAGTCCTCCAGAGGTCAGGAGCTTGTGTAGGGATTCTTGCTGGTCGCTTTCCTCACTGCGCCCATGAAGCCTGCGGGGAGAAGCAGCCCTTGAGCCTTGGGAGAGAGCACAGGGGCATGGCCAGATGGAGTACCATCCCCACAGCACACCTGGATGTGACCAGAGAGGAAGGAAAACCAGGCACAGCAGGCACATCACACCACAGAGCTTCCCTAGCTGTCTCTGGCAGACAGGCACTGAAGATCTGCCAGAAAGCACCTTCCTAAACTGTGTGCAAACACTGCAGCCCATAGGTAAGGAGCAGGATCAAAGCTGCTGCTCCAGTAGGATGGACCCTCCCAAGGTCAGGGCACATACTGTTCTCATGCACTCGCAACACACATGCCAAGCAGAGTTTCACTAGAGGAAGTGTCATCTGCTACGCTGAGAATGACTGGTTTCCTTTGATGTCAAACTCACCGAACCCCCCTACAGGAGAGTTGGAAAAGGGAGTGATGGAAACCAAAGGGGTCTCACAGAAGCAGCAGAACACTGCACGGAAGGGCTGTTCTGAGCTCCTTGGAGGGGTACAGGCAGCAAGAGAAGGGTGCTTCACCTGCCATACTCCTCTCGAATAACCTTCAGCACTCGCCGCACCATGTTGCCCACAGTTGTCTCAGATGGCTGGGCTGCTGTCATCCTCTGGCCCTCTGTCCGGATCAGTTCCATGAGCTCCCCTGAAAGAGGGGAGGGCCTTGGTTACTGCTACCCAGAGCAAGTGTCAAACCAGCGCACCCACCCCACAACAGCCCAATGGCTGCGGCTGGCTCTGGTGCTGGGAACACAACCCCCAGAGAGAGCACGGAGGCAGGAGCAAGAAGCCACCTGCAGAGCAGCTCGTTCCGCTGGGTTTTCTGCCCATGAGTCACATGGACGCGACACAGCCTCTGAACTTACAGAAGCCCATAAGCAGGAAGGTCAGTGAAAGGAAACTGACGGCTGCTGGAACAGCCAGCGCTGGGGCGGACACTCCTCAGGGGAGCGCACGGCTGTTCCAGTGGCCCAGTTCCTCGCCCAACGCCGCCGGGAAGCGAGGCAGGCTGCAGACGGCTGCGGTGCGGCAGGACAAGCACTGGGAACCCAGACCCCGCTTCCCCGGGCCGCTCCGCTTTGCTGCTCCCTCGCAGCTGACGGCCGCGACCGGCGCGCCGGGCTCTGCAGCAGCGCGGCTCGACGGCCTCGAGGCCTCCCCACCCTCCAAAGCCCATCCCCGCCGCCGGCCTCTGCCTCCGCGCTGCTCCCGCTGCCGGGGAGAAGCGCGCGCCGCAGCGCGGCCCTCACCGGCCCGGCTCCATCGCCCGTGAGCGACGATCTTCCGTAGCAGCGACAGCGTCTGCCGTGCAGTGTCCTCGGAGCGCGGCCGCTCCCCGCCGCCCCGCAGCCGCGCCACGAAGGCCTCGATCTGCTCGGACAGCTCCGAGCCGCGCTCAGAGGCACCCGGCATGGCGGCAGCTCTACGAGAAAGCTCCGCTCCGCTCCGCCGAGCTGTACCGCTTCCGCCGCGCCGCTTCCCCATTGGCGGAGCCTCCGACGTGCTCCCACCCTCCGGAGGCAGCACTGCCAATGAGAAGTGCGGTCGGCTGCGGGCCGCGGCTCGGCGGGGCTGGCGGTGGCCGCGCTCGGAGCTGGGTCTGTCGGGGCGCGGGCGCGGATGGGCGCGGGCGGCTTCCCCAGGGACGTGCCCCCGGGGTGGGCGCCGGGCCCGGCGTGACTCCGGGCACAGCTCGGGAGGCGTGTGCCGGGCCGCTCACCTCCGCGCGCCTAGCCTGCACGCCGCCGGTGACGCCTCCCTGCAGGACAACGCTGCGGGCCGGCGCCACGGCGAGTCTGCGGCAGGGAACGCAGCGTCAGTATGCTGGGCAGTACGGGAGGAGCCAGCCGGCTCTGCGGAGCAGCAGGGAGAGCCCGTCCTTGTGCAGTAATTTACTTTGGACCGTGCGGTGTTCTAGACACAAAGAGCCAAAGCAAATGGGGTGGGAAAGGCGCAGTTCCTGGCAGTCCAATTGTTCATGCTGGCAGAGCCAGAACCGGCCCTGGATAAGGCAGGAATGTAGCTCCTTTGTATCTAGTTCCTGGAGCTCTGTGTTCAGGGAGCAGGCAGGAGCCACGGAATTCTCACTGCGGTGCTGCTTTGCTCCGTGTCTCTGCTCTGTGTCCTGTTGTTTTAGATTAGGAAATCAAAGCAGACTGGTTTATGCTGGAAGCTTTCAGTGGGTGCTTCACGCAGGGGCCTGTAGAGCCTTGGGTGCTCATCGCATCCTTTTTGTACTTTGCCTGATGCTCTGGGGACTTGCCCTGCAGGCAGCTGCCACCCAGGGCCTACTGGGTCTCAGCAAGATACCAAGATACCCTGGTGCACAGGGTCTCAAGGATGCACTGATGTGATTCGTCACCCAAAGCCTGGGCTGGACTGAGAGCCCTTCCACACGTCTCTTCTCCTGCCACTTCCCCAAGTGCCACTGCATGCCTGGAAGTCAGAGACCCTGACAGCCTGGGAAAGAAAGCTCATTGCATCCCTCTAACACCTGGTGAAAAGCCACTTGTCTGGGCTTGCCTGGGTGTGATTTGGGGGTTGCTGCTGCCCTGGCTGGAAGTCAGTTTCCCTCCTTCGTGAGCTTGTCTCGTCCTTTGCCTTTGGAGAGACTCAGAGGGTTACAGCATTTGACCTGCTGGTGGTTTGGCTGTGCTGGGCCCCACTGTGGTGACCAGACACATCCTTGTTCCCTGCTGCCTTCTCTTCCCGCTTCTCCCCAGCTTTAGGGATCTGTCTTCTTCCATCTTGCGTGAATTGGAGGCTCCCTGGAGCAAGGTCTGCCCAACCCTGCATTTGAGCAGGGTAACACAGTTTCCCCTTTGCTCCTCTGTGCAGCTCATTGCAGGCAAGGCAGGGGTGTGCTTCCTGCGTCCACTGCCGGCTCTGCCTGTGCGTGGCTGTGTGCCGGCTGCCATGGGGTGCCGAGCCTGGTCCCACTCTGGGGGACCCGCCCTGGGATCGGGGCATGCAGTCAACTGGCAAAATAAAATAAATTAAAAATCATTGCTTCAGAGCTTTCCTTTGCTTGTTTACTTGTCTGGGTAGTAAACAGAGCAGCTCCGGGAGATTAGGCAGGAGGGAGAAGAGGAAGGGAAACCGGACTCTGAGGTTATGACCTCCTTGTGGATGCTGGGCTGTTTACATTCCCTGCTCTGGTCCCAGTAACTAATGCAGGCCAGTTTCTTCTCAGGGCCTGGCCTGACTGCAGAGATTTTTCCCTGCTCACACTGTTCCTGCCCTGTCCCCACAGCACTTTCTGCTGGGCACTGCTGCCACAGCCAGCCAAAGACAGCTGGCAGTCCGATGTCCCTCGGGGCAGAGTCCTGCACTCGGTCTGCTGCCTTGTATTTCATGAATGAAAGCTTCTGAATGGGGATTTCAGGCGCTATTAGCCCTGTCTAACTGAGCTGAGCCAGAACCTGTGGCTCTCTCAGAGCTGAAAGGCAAATTCCAGGCTCTGGCTGCTCGGAGGGACTGTGGTTACAAGACATCTGGTTGTTACTAGCCAGCAGCTGCCACCAGAACCCAGTGAGCTAAGCAAGGAGTGCCCAAGAGGGCTCAAGAGGAGTGAGGACGAGGAGTGGTACTGTGGGGAGCATGGGGCAAGTGGGGAAGGCAGCTGGAAAGATGCATGTTGGTGTCCTGAGCTGAAATCTTGCCTGGAGTGCTGACATGGTCGCTGTGGCAGAGGCAATGGGGTGGGGGGGGGGTATGTGTGTGTGCACCATTGGGCAGCTGGAAGGAGACTCACCTGGTGGTCCTCAGCTGCTTGGTGTTACGGAGTGCGACCCCCCTCTCCTGCAGTGGCCACAGGCAGCTGACTCCTGCACAGCATGCTTCCCTTCCCTTCTCGGGTATATCCGGGTCCCCTGGGGCAGAGTTGGCCTCTGTGGCTTCCCAGCTGGTGTGTGAGCAAGCGAGGAGGCTGACACACTGCAGCCGGTGCTGGCGCTGTGGGCAAAAGAGCTGAGCAGGGATGAGCTGGCTGGCCGAGCAAGGCAGCACGTTTTCTGGGCCTGCAGAGGAGCTGAAGTCTGGCTCGTCTCCTCGGAGAGCTGCCAGCCTGGCCAGGACAGTGTCCTGCTCTGTGCCAGCAGGGATGACTGCTGGAGACACTGCTTCCCTCCACCCAGTGAATTCTGCATCCCCAGGGGCTGAATGTTATCCTTCCAAGTGCTTGTGTGAGGGAGGAAAAGGCAGGATGGAGGCTGGGTAGAGCCTGGGAGCACAGGAACATCGTGTGCTGGGAGGCTGTTTGGATTAGAAACTCTCGGTGGATAAGTGGGCTGGATGAAATGCCAAGGAATGGAATCAAAGTTTGCTGAACTCTAGTAATTGGACTTGTCTGCAACACCCGGGTAAGCAGTGAGCTGCTCACACTCAGTGCAGGCGAAGGGAAGGAGCCATCAGGAGAGAGCCAGCAGAGAGAGGAGCAACAGCAGGCTGTCAGGACAGCATAGGCTGTGAGGACTGGGTAGGTGCCGTGGACAGAGGCACCGTAGGGTTGTCGCTGTGTGCCTAAGCCACTTGTTGAGCATGAGTGACTGAGATGAGGATGGCATGGTGCATGGCAGGAGGGGGCACATGACCACAATCTTAAGGAGGAAGATGCACCAAAGGTATCTTTGGTGTGACTGGCTGCTCTTAGAAAGTCTATGCTAAAAGACCTGAAACAAAATTGGAGGGGTCAACTCAAGCCCAAAACTCTTAGAGCCCTTGTGTGGAGGCTGGGCTGTAAGGGGGCAGGAGTGAATCTGCTGAAGGGCTGAGGGAGCCCAAACCAGTGCTTTCTGTGTGCTACAGGGGAGAAAGTAGGTCACTTAGTAAGTGAAGGTGATGGAAGTGGTGGGCTGAGCTGCGTGCTGAATGCACAAGCTGAAAACTCAAGCTTCTAGGGAAAGAAGACAAAAAACTCAAACAAACAGCTGGTGATCAAAAGCAGGTATGTGAATAGTTGGACAGCTCAGCTCTGTGGGTCTGGAGGCGCACGCACACATTGCCTGAGTCATCGGCAGTTTTAGCATGCTTAAAATTCACAGCTGACACTGCAGGTATCAGGGCACGTGTTCTGCTGGTCTTTGCTGATGACCCTGGTAACAACTGTCCCCTAAACTGGTCATCCTCAGGGAAGCATGGCTACTGCAACTGCCTGGGTGGCCAAGGGCTTGCTATGGGGAGTTATAGGATGGATTCAGCACCTCAGGTTAGTGAAGGATTTGATGCAGCTCCTTGCTCAGCAGCCCGCATGTACGTGTGCCTGTCTGCCTGGAGAGCGGCTGCTGGCTCATCCTCATGTCAGCACAGCACCCACAGGCAGCCTGAGCCCATAGCCAGACCCTTGCAGTACTGACAGAGTCCACGCTCCCTACGGGAAACGAGTAGGTGGTTCTGAATCTGGCTCAGGACCATCTTCTGACAGCAAGTTTGCCATTCATGCCCCCCTCCTTTATGGAGCCTCAAAAATAGAGACCAAGGCTTGGAAGCAGGAGGGGTTTTCTAGGGCTCACTGTGGAAGCAGCCCAGGCTGGGGGGTCCCTCACCCTTCCTGGCCCCTGGGAGAGGCATGGGAAGCTGGTGTTCATCACCTCCCCTGGATATGGAGCTTCACTTGTTGCTTCGTTCATCTATGGCAGTTCCCCAGGTCTCCTCTCGGGATGCAAGCAGCTGGAGAAGCCGGTTCAAAGGCCAGGCTGGTCAGGAAGAGGCGAGGGAAGTGTGGGAAGTCGCTGCGTGTCATGTAGGAAAACAAGCCCCAGCGAGGGACGAGGCAGTGCAGTGTGGGGCTGGACAGGAGGTGCCAGCCCCAGCATTGCTAATGGTGTGTTGGGCCTGCATACATGGGAAAGGTGTTGGCTTTGCTTAGTGCCACCAAAGGCACCGGTGGTTCGGAAAGCTCAGTGGCACCGCACCGGTGTTGGCTGTGACACTGTCACCGCTCAGAGGGCATGTGGCATGCTGGCCGGTGATGCCGGGGCCCGTCCCTCTAGGCCGGCTTCAGAGAAGCCGCTGAGCAAAGCTGGTGTGGCTGCAGGAAGCCAGGTCCTTGGGGCAAGACAAAGCACGGCCAGCCGCTTTATGGTTACCAAGGGGTCCATGACACCAGCAGTCTGGGCTGCTTCCTGGTCACCGGCCAGCTCCCTGCAGTTCCTCTGCCTCCCGGTGCTGCAGCTGGCCCCGGGCTCGCTTTGCTCATTGTCTGCTGCGGGTGATGGCATCTATTCAGCGGCTGCCAGGTTTCATGGAAAGGGAGAGATGAGCCACTCCTCCGCCCACATTCTGGGAAAGCCTTTGGGGAGAAGCCCTGCCGATGCACACGTTCGCTCCTCGAAGAGGGGAGCGTGCTGCAGAGCCTCCATTCCCCCGAATCCCGAATCCCAAATCTGCCCCCCCTTATTAGGCATGATGCTGGGAAGCAGTTTGGAAGCAGCCCGGGCTGCTGGCTCTTTCCATACAAAAGTGGAGCCTGCTGCTCCCTGTCTCCTCACTTGTTTGCCTTCCAGATGCAGGCAGAGTCTCGCCATCACTATTATTTTGCTTTGTGTCAATATTATGACAGCTAAAAGCAGGAGCACTGCATCCACACGATAAGCAGCCAGAAGCTCTGGACTGGGTGTGGAGCGGGTTCGAGTTTGGCAGGGGAGAAAAGTGCCTGGCAGCCCCTGCCCACCGGCTGGCTGGGCCAGGAGAGCTGGGAGGCGAGGGGCAGTGGCAGAGCAGCGGGTGATCCGTGCCCAGGCCTCTCTGCTCTCTGTTCAATGCCTTTTTTCCCGGGGAGATGAAATATGGTAGATGTGCAGAGTATGTTTGGTTCTCCAGTGGAAAAGTAACCTCTGCCTCTTCCCTGGGGAGAGGGGCTGCTCTGCTGGGAGAACCCCATCTATCCCAGAGCTCTCATACCCCATCCCTCCTGCCCCGTGTGGGCCTGAGGTGTTTCATCTCTGCTAGTAGTAGAGGGTCACAGAGACTGCTGCACCAGCCTGTCCTGGCCACAGCTTGTTTGGGCTTTCCCAAGCAGAGAGCTCTGCAGCTGCCAGAAGGAAATTCCCATAGGTTTCCTGGGGCCTCTGCTCCCACACAGGGCTCCAGGCGAGGAGCTCATACTGAGCCGTGCCATGGGTGCTGCATGTCCACCCCAGACTCTCAGCACCTTGTGCGCACGGGGCTGTTTTGGCACAGTACCTGCCTGCCCTCAGGAGCCCGCTGACAAGACGTTTACCTGTAGGCACCCACGTATGCTTGGGGCTGCGGTTCAGCTCCCAGTGCCTCACCCTGCTGCCGGGCTCTGCTCCCCTGCAAACTACCTTGACCTGGATGGTCCCTGCCACATGGGGCTGCCCATGTGGCCACTGAGCATTGTGCCCAGCAGCGTGTGCTCTCTGTCACCTCCCCACTGGGCAGCGCTGACTGAGGGCTGGTCATTATTAACCCTCCCATCTGCTGCTGGCACCTACCCGCAGCTTTGCCCTGGTGGGGAAGCCACTGCCCCAGGCGCAGGCTCAGCCTCAACACTAAACTAGCCCTGCACTGAAAGATGGAGCGTTAGGCTGAGCAGCACTGGGTCAGCCAGCCATCAGCGTGTTTCTGGAGCACAGGCTGGCTGTTGAGGGCTGCGGCTTCCCAGGGCTTGGGTCTGGTGGTCTCAAGGACTTCCTCCTTGGTGCCATTGTCCCTGTGTCGCTGGGGATTTAAGCTGTGCCTGGGAGTAGCAGCCAGGCCTTGCCACAGGTTCCTCTTGCTCAGGTCTCCTGCTTTGAGCCCTCCTGGGCAGTGCTGGTGCCTGTCCCATGTTCTCCAAACCTTGTGCCTGACCCGGGCCAGCCCTGGTGCCTGGAATCCAGGGAGTGCAGATCCCAGTCTCCCCAACACGGGGCCGTGCCGTGCTGTCAGGTGCCTGTGGTGTTGGTCACCGGCCCCTGGGGAGGCCGAACTCCCCTCCTGAGGAACCAAAACAAACAGCAGAGTTCCTGCCACGTGCGGCAAGGGCTGACTAAGGCCGGACGCTTCCTCCTGCTGCGGGCAGCAGCGGCCGGGGCTGCAAGCCACCATCATCGGAGTGAGCAGCATGGCCCATTTCCCCCTATTGTCAGCCTGCCCCTCGACAAACACATCCCCCTGCGCACCTGGGCCGGGAGGAGGCTCTGACCCCACAGCCACCAGGAGCAAAGGATGTGCTGCCACCACAGCTTGGCTCCGGGAGCTCTTCAGGCCCCGGTGTCATGCAGGTTGTTTGGAGGTTGTTTCCTTGAGGAGCAGTGCTGACCATTCAGGATCACTGGTGCAGCCCTGCGTGCCTGCAAGGGTGCTGGTGAGCCCCGAGTTTCCTGGAAGAAATCAGCATCAATCCGCTGGCAGAAAGGCCTGGGTTTCCCGGTGCGGAGAGGCTGGTGCCAGGAGAGCCCCTCCCAGACCATGCTCATCCCCATTCCCATGTGCAGGTACACCCAGCTCCAAGCAGCCAGTCTCCAGCCCTCTGCCTTTTGCCTTCCATTCCCACTGCAGAGACACAGCCTGCAGAAGACTGAGCTGGTTTATCTCAGCCTGAGCTACAGACCAAGTCCTCAGTGCTCACTTACTGGGGAGCTTAGGAGAGTCTAAGGGCTGGGGAAAGCAATCAAATGAAACAGTGGGTGTGAAACACAGGCATTTTGGGACGAAAGGCATGCATGGGAAGCCCAGTGCTTTACGTATTAATGCTGCTTTGACCCTCGGATTCCCATCACAGTGCAAGATGTAGGCAGCTGTAGGTGGGACTCTGTCTTGCTGGGCAGGAGTGGCAGCAGAAGCCTGAGGGGGTGGCTGTGCCCTGCAATGGAGCACAGGGATACAGCACTTTTCCTGGCAGAAGCCTCTGGGCTTCTGACCAGATTCCGGTGTCCTAAATAACAGCAGCACAGAAATAATGCCCAGAGGATCTCAGGGGTTTTCCCTAAAACCTTTAGGGGTGTCATAGGAGGTCCTGGCTACAGTTGGCTTAAGAGCGATGCAGGGATGAGGTTTTGTTGGGCTCTTTTCATCTGAGATGCTGAGCGTGGGATTTTGCAGGGAAGAAGGTGCCTGTGATGGGATTTTGCTGCTCAAATATGGCAGATTAATGGAAAAGAGGACTTAGAGGGACCTCACCCGTGGTGAGCAGGATGAGGTTTCGTGGGGCAGAGCAGCTGCCTGTGTGGGGCTCCTTCAGGGCTTATGGGCAGCCCAGGGCCCTCACTCAGAAGGTGCAGAAGACACAGAGGTGAGCCCGTGCCCTGGCAGGGCTGTGCCACGGTGAGGTTCTAGCTAGCTGGGTGTCTGTCCCCACAGGACTGCCAGTACTCACCCAGAGCAAGGACACCCATCCTTCCCCACTCGCTGCCCTTGCAGCACTGCAGGAAGGTGGCACAGGCTAGCAGTGGCATATTCGAGGTGATGCTCTCAGCCCGCAGCTGCCACACGGGGCTCACCACGGGGGAGGCATCTGCCCTTTAAGGGAATGTCTCTATTTGCCTTATGTCCCTTGAGCCTCCTCTGTCCCTTGTTCCCAAAGTGCGTAGCTCTGCTCCCCAGGGCCAGGTGGGAGGCAGTGCGAGGGACGCGCTGGTGCATTTATAGCGCTGACCTCCAGCCTCGTCCTGCAGCTGCGGAAGGGTGGGCTCAGCCCCCGGGGAAGGAGCATGGCGGAGGGGAAAGCGAGCAGCCATGGCCCCGGCCAGCTGGGTGTTTCTCCCATTTGCAGGAGGATGTTGCTGGTCACAGGTTACCAGTTTCCAAATATTATTTCTCTGCTCCTGTCTCTGCTGCGTGCTGCCTAGAAAGGGGATGCTCATCCCAGGAATGTAAACTCTATCCATGGCCTCTGAGGAAATAGCTTCAGACCAGGAACAGGATTGCATTCAACAATTAAGGGCTGGTCTCCCCAACCACACGGCTCCCAGGGGAGAGCCCTTTGCTCCAGCGCCAGAGGCTGGCCTTGTGTCTGAGAGGTGGCCCCGAGGGACCTTTCAGCAAGGACAGGCGTGAGGCCCCGTGTGGTCACGGTCTTCACAATAACAGGATTCTGTCTGTCCAGTGAGTTGGCAGCAGCTGCTGCTCAGGGCAGCCTCTGGTCCGGGCTCTCGAGTGGAAGGAAATGCTCTGTTCGTCCTCCATCTCAAAACCATCCCTGGGGAGGTGGTGGTGGGGTCCCTTGGCCCAGGTGGGTCCATGGGGTGGCAGAAGGAAAGCACAGGTACGCTCCAGCCCTTGTGGTGAGGCTGTTACCTGCTCCTCGCTGTCCAGCCAGGGGCAAGAGCGTGAACAGGCGCCGAACGCCTCCCCGGCAGCGCTGTGTTGTTGGCGCTGAGTGATGAACTGCAGCGCTCCCGGACCCCCGGCGGGGCCGGCGTGTCTGTGCGCTTATCTCCACTGCATCTCCCTGCTAATTTGCCAGGCCCCGCTCCAGCAGCTTTCTCACACACTCAGCGCTCTTATCCAGAGCCGAGCTCCCGCTGACGCCTGAGCTGCTGCCACCTGCATGGCTCGGCGGGGCTGGGGACAGGCAGCTGGCGCGTCCCGCGTTCCCTGGGGACAGACCCCACAGGGCTGGGGACAAGCCACTGGCGTCCTCATGCTGCAGGGACAGACCTTACACAGAGGTGGGCACGGAAGTCCTGGAGCAGCCTCCCTGCTCTCCCAGAGCAGAAACGTGAATCCTGGCAGGGACACACATCCCGTTATTTCCCTGGGACCCGCTGGCACTTCTCTTCCCACCTCTCATAGCTCCAGCTTCCCTGGCCTTTGGGACTTAAAAATAGAACAGAAAAGGCCATAGAGTTCCTTTGGGTTTACCCTTGGCGGCAGGGTTTGGACCTGATCTGCTCCAGGGAACCACTGTGCCCCCTTTTCCCCCAAGAGAGAGGGACACCCCATGGCAGACAGGACGGGGATGTTGTCCCTCGGGCTGAGGGGCCGGAACCCCCTGCTAGGGCTTCGACGAGCTGGCTAGGCAGGTGCAGGGCACCCTGGGGGGAATGGGGCGGCTGGAGGGACAGGGGGCTGCTGGGTGGGCAGGGGTGGACCGACCGGCATGGGGCAGCGCACGCTGAACCTGGGAGAGGCAAACAGGGTCCGGGGAACCCAGCGAGCGGCGAAGCCCCGACAGAGCGCCGGTGCTTCCCGCCCTCCGGGATTGCCCCTGTCACAGGCCAATCCATACAAGCGCCGGGACAGCCCCCTGGGCCAATGTCCGGTGCCGGGCACTGGCGGCAGGGGCTCCACTGCGTCGGGGGGCACTGGCCGTCCCCGGGGCCGGGCACCTGCTCCCGCCCCGCGGCGGGGCCGGGGCGGGCGGGGGCGGGGCGGCAGCGGTGAAATAGGGCGGCTGAGGGGAGCGCGCTCCTATGGCCCGGCGGCGGCGGAGGCGGCACGGTGGGGCCGGTGGCCCGGCGGCGGGGCGGCATGCCGGGGGCGGCGGGGCGGTAGCGGCGGCGCGGAGTCGTTGCCGGAGCGGCGATGCGGCTGCTCGGTGCCTTCCTGAGGCTGCTGGTGGCCGCGACGCTGGGGGCGCCTCCTGCCCCGGTGAGAGCCGGGATGAGGGAGTGGGGTCGGGGCGGTAGCAGCCTGGCTCGGCCCGTGCCGCTGCCCGCGGCGTCGGTGGTCGCCGGTGCAACGGCTCTCGGCGCTGGGCGGGGGGGTGGCGGTGGGTTCCCCCGTGCAGCCCAGCCAGCGCCCGCCTTTCCCTCCCTGCAGGCCCCGGAGGCGCTGGGGACCGCCAGCGCGGAGCCGGCCGGTGAGTCGACAGCGGACGGCAGCCCGTGACCCGGCAGCGGGGGGCGGGGGGGGGGGGGGGGGGGGGCTGCGTGCAGGGCTGGGGCGGGTTTCGGTACCGCGTGGGGCTGTTATCCCTCGTGGAGCCCCGCGGCAGCGCCCGGGCGGGCAGCGGGCAGCTCTGCCGGGGCTCGGATCAGCCCGCGCTCCCCGCTTTCGGCACTCGGCACCGCCGCGGGAGCCGAAGAGGAGTGTTCCTGCCCAGGAAAACACCCTGGGCGCCGGGAGGCGGCAAGTCTGGCGTAGGGCTGCGCTCTGCTTCGGCTCCCCTCTGCTCTTCCCTCTGGGAAGCCGAAGGGACGGTTCTCTGCCGCGCTGCTGGGCAGGGAGGCGAGGGGGTAGAGCGGAGAAGGAGGAGGCAGAGCTGGAGGGCAGGTGAAGACCGAGCCCATGGCTGTGGCTGTGTCCCCGCCAGTGAGGTGGTGGACTTTCTTGGAGCACAAGGGGGTCCTCTTCATCCCTGGGTGCCCGTGATGGAAGGACCCCACCGCGGCTGCTGCACCTGCCCCGGCAGCGACCGGCTGGGCTCAGCCTCTCTGGGTCTCTCCTTACAGCCCCTCACCCCGGTCTCTTGCAGTCCTGACCTTTCGGGAGATCTGGAACCGTAGTTTCTGCCGGCCCCTGGAGCAGCTTGTGGACGTCATCAGCGAGTTCCCCAACGAGGTGGAGTACATTTTCAGACCCTCCTGCGTCTCCCTGCAGCGCTGTGGAGGCTGCTGTGGGGATGAGGGTCTCCGCTGTGTCCCTGTGGAAACAAGCACGGTCACCATGCAGGTAAATGTTGCTGCTGTAGCTCTGTGGCTGCACCAGGGATGTGGTGGCCTCCTGGCCAATAACTGGGAGGGTGAACTTGCAGCTTCACATCCTCCAGGCATCGTAGCAGCATGGATAGCAGGGGCAAGGCTTATTCACAACATGCCAAACCAGGAGGGTCCCACTGCCTGCTCTTTGGGCTTCTCCCTGAGGCCAGATGACATCCCTGGTGGCACTGGCCTTGCTTCCTGCTTCCTTGCCCTCAGTGTGGTCCCTCTTGCTGACTGTTGTCACCTTTCCAACCTTCCCTATCCTGCAGTGGGGTTGCGAGTGTCCCAGGTACCCATGACTCTGCCTGGTGAGGTAAAGCAGATGCTGCCCCTGAATCACAGAGAGAAGCAAGGGTCTATGTGTCAGGAGATGTCTGTGGTGGTGCTGACAGAGAGTGTGTGCTGGGGGCATGGTGAGCATGAAGGGCTGCACCAGCCACGTTTACAGCCCCCACTGTGCGAGCTGTGTGAAGTGGGGTGGGAGATCCTGGACTGCAAACATGCTGCTAGTCACCTTTTCCCAGCGTGCCAGCAGCCATTGCCCTCACACTTCAGTCCTTGCGTTGTGCTGCCAGGGATCAACCCACTCCTGCTTCAGGTAGCAGAGAAAAGCTCTGCTCTGCCCATGGATGATGGACTAGAGAGTGCCTGCAATAAATCACCAGTGAATTTGGCCCCTTGGAGGCTGAAAGAGTGTTTGAAGGAAGGTTGGAGTCTCCAAAAAGTCTCCACTGAAGTGGCGCAAGAGCCTGGCATAAACGGAGGCAGCTCCCCATGCACAGGTCTCCCTCCATGGAGATGGCTGTGTGAGGGATGGCAAGGCCAGGTACTTCCACAAGAGCTACCATAGATCACAGCACTGATGAGCATACCCTGTGAAGCTCCTAGATGTCCAACCCAAACTCTGGGCTGGGTCATGGACTGACATGTAACAGGGCAAACACTGCAGCCCTGGGCTGGGAAGGCATTGTGGTAATGATTCCAGGCTTGGTGCTGTGGTAAGGAGGGGCAGGGGAAGGAGGCAACAGCAATGGGAATGGTCTGGAAAACATGGGTGTTCCCATCGGAGAAGGGACATGTGCAAAGTGGTCAAATGCGTGAAAGCTCTCCACAAAGGCAGGGACACAGAAATCTCTTCTAAAGCTGAGAAATCCCAAAAACATAAGGCTTAAATTACAGCCCTGAAGACACGGGGCAACACCAGCAGAGCTTCCTAAGCTGCAGGGGCGGCTGGGCCTGGCCGGTGCTGCCTGCATGTAGAGGTGGAGCCTCTGCTGCCGGAGGTGCCGGGGAACAGGTTAGACATGCGTCTGCCCGAGAGGCTGCGGTGATGAGGCAGCGCCGTGGGAGCCCTTCCAGCCCCCTCCTGCCGCTGGCTGGGAAGTAACCTTTGCTCCTCTTTCAGCTCCTGAAGATAAAGCCGAATGGGGAGGCTCCCTACGTGGAGATGGCGTTCACCGAGCACAAGCAGTGCGAGTGCAGGTAGGAACCCCCCTGGCTGGTTTTGCACCCCTGTGCCCCTCCAGCGAGAGCAACCCTGCCAGCTCACCCTGTGTGAGCTGAGGGGGGCACCCTGGCTCTGCTGGAACCCCCTTCTCCCTGCTGTCTGTGTTTCCTGGTGCTTTTGGCCCTTGCTCAGGTGCAGCCTGCACTGAACTTCTGCAGCAGCCTCCCTCCACCATGCTCTGCCTGAAGGCCAAAGCTGCTGGTGCACCTTGGCTCTGTGAGCAGCAGTGTCTGTGCCTTCCAACCCCATGGCTGCCTTGGTGTGCTTGGCATGTAATCCTCTGGCCTGTGGGTAACAGAAAGGCTGGTGGCTCTGAGGCAGGTGCCTGGTGGTGGCTCAGCAGAGACCTCCATGGCTTGCCATACCTAAGCATGACTGTGGCCCAAAGAGAAAGCTGAAGAGCTGGCTGCCCCATCCATCCATCCATCCATCCAGGGAGGCAGAGCAGTGGCTTACATCCAAACTAACAAATGAAAGCTTGAAATGTGCAGTGCCAGCCTGGTATGGATGTGCAGCACCAACCTGCCACAGACACCACCTTGGGGTGCTCACTGTTCCCAGAAGCGGTGAGAGCTTGGGCAGGATGGGGCCCCTGCCTGGGGTCTGCAGTGATTTGGGAGCCAGGAGCAGCTCCGGGGCTGCTCACAGATGGTCGCTGCCACAAGTATGCTTCAACCCCACCTCCATGGGGGGGTCCTGGCTCTTGCTCTCCATCATGACCCCAGGGTGATCCAGTATTGCGAAAACTGGGGATTGAGTGTCCTGCTGGGCAGCTGTTAGACACAAGATGCTTGCCTGGAAGAAGAGCCTGAGGATCCCAGGGCTGGTATTCCCCTGCAGCTGTAAAAGCGGCTGTGCTGGAGTAGACCCAAGGCTTGTCCATTTCTACTCTGTCTCTGAAGCATCTGCTGGTGGATGCAGAAGGGAGAGTAGGAAAAGGCACATATGTTACTTCCCCCCTCTTGCTCTGCTTCCAGCTATTTTCCATGCAGGGAATTTCCTGAGCCTGTTGTGGTTTTCCTACCTAGGGTAACTCCCAGGGGATCTCCTACAAGCACTCGTGCAGGCTGCCTTTGAATCTCTGTAAACTTCTTGCTTCTGCAGCACCTTTTGGCTTCTCCCTAAGCTGCCTTCCATGCCTTTATAGTGCTTCCCTTTGAAATGCAGTGTGGGTGCAGTGGATGTCCTGGCCTTGGCCATCTATATTGAATGCTTAAGCCAAGTATGTTGTGGCTGTTGTCTGAGAACCACTACTGAGGCTTTGCAGCAAATCCCACATGTTACTCAGGACGTTGCATGTTGTTTAACCAGCTGAGCTATGAAAGCTGTCACTGAGAGCAGCTGAAACTGAATCTGTGCTTCCCAACTTCATGGGCAGAATGTCACTTCCCTGGGGGAGCTGCCAAAGCTGACCATCCCCCTGCCCCTCTGCTGTCTTTGTCTTCTCTCTGTCTACTGCAGTCAGTTCCTGTCTGAGGGGATGATAACATGAAAGGAAGTTGTATTTGGTCTGGTTCAAGCATGAATGATAACAGGTAGATTGTGCTGCACACTGGGGAAGCAGCCTGACAGCCAGCATTGCCCTAGTAACTGCTTCACTGTCCTTTTCCTATCCCACAGGCCCCGTCAGGACCTGATGAGGCTGGGAAGGTAAGTGATGTCAGGGGCAGTGTTACGGGCTGGGGTTGTGTGTCTCATCACACATCAGCCTTTCTTGTGGTCCTTTCCTTTCAAAGGAGAAGACCTAAGGGCCGAGGTAAGAGAAGACAAGAGAGGACGAGACGTAAAGGCTGTGAACTGTAAGTGAGCATGGGCAGGTATGGGTGGTGTCTTGTGGGTTTGTTTCTTTGGGATGAACAGTTTCATTAAGCCTTTAGGTCTTTACTGACACTGTAAGCAGTGAGGAGTTTGTGAAGAGCAGGCACAGGAGAAAGCAGTACAGCAGGGACAATGAGTGGCTGCAGGGAAATGGGCCTCTTACTGAAGGCTCAGTAGTTTCCAGGCTCAGCTGCTCAAAGTTGGCCAGTCCCATCCAGGGTGGGGATGGATGGATGGAGTTACTTGCTGGTATGTGGCTCTATCACTATCACAGACCACACTGGATTTCCTGGATCCCTAAATTTCCAGTTTTAGCCTCATCCTGCTGTCAGCTGTGTCCTTCCTGCTGTCCTTGGCTGGTCATTGTTTGGGTTACTCTGCCCTTTCCCTCCTTACATTTAGCTGACTCTTCAAACCACTTGCTGTAACAAAGCAGGCTGGACTCTCACTGCATACATTTTTGGGGTGTGGTACCTATGGCTGACACTTCTACGTTGTATTTCCCTGTTGTTTTTTTTTCTGAAGCCTGCTGCTCAGGTCTCAGCCAGCACCTACAGCCCCATTCCCCTTGCTCTTCCCTGTTAAGGGGCTGCCTGTGGTCCCTGCTGCTTTGGTTTGGTGCAGGAGGTGCTCAGCACAGAGAAGGGGGAACCTGGGGCACAGCGGGTGAGCCCAGAGGTCCTGGCGTTCCTCAGTCCCAGCAGTGCTCACCTGTGCCATGCTCTCTTTACAGATGTGGCACACCACGCAGGTAGCCTCCGCTCTGCCCCTGGCCTTGCCCCTGTTGCTTGGGTTTGAGCCAGCAGTGTCTTCCCCTGGTGTGAGGAACTTGTGGAGCTGTGTCCTGCCATGCAGCAGTGGGGAGCAGGACTCCAGCAGGGAAAAGCTAACTGGACTCTTGCCTGGCCCTGGCTGGAATGCAGCCTACAACTGAGGACCCGCTCACCCCATCTGCACCATCAGCAGCAGGACAAAAGGACCTGTGACCAGGCCTGGGGCTGAAGATGAGGAGCTCAAGCAGCATCTTGGTGTTTGAGGGCATCCTGCGGGCAATGAGGAGTGGAGCTGGTGGATGTGCTGCTGGAGCTGGCTGGGGACAGCATCATGGGGATGGGTGGAGGAGGCTTGGAGGGCTGCAGCTGCAGAACTGCTCTGTCCTGCCAGTGCCCTGCAGCTGGGGAGGAAGGAAACCCGGGGCAGTCAAGACTGCAGGGCTGTATCCGTCTGAGCCTTGGCATGGGGCAGCTCAGGAGGGTGCCTGGAAAGCCCTCTTGGAGGGGAAGGAATGGGAATTGGGCTTGCCAGGGCTCCTCACATACTTGCAGCCACATCCTAGCCTTGCCCTGCTCAATAAAACCTGGTGGGGGGATGCAGGCGCTGGAATTGTGAGCACTCCTGACTGCTTCTCAGCAACTGCCTGCAGGCAGGGCTCTGTCCCAGGCTGGAGGAGGGCAGTCCTGCCATGGCCCAGGGCTTGTCCCCAGCAGCAACTCCTGCAGCATCCAAGAGGCTGCCCTTGTTGGAGATGGGCAATCAGTGGGTCCAGGACCAGGCTGCTTCCCAGGCTGGGGGATACCCAAGTGCTGGAGCTCAGGTGGGTACTGGGAGACCCTTGGGGGAAATACCCTTCACCACACTGTAACGTGGAGATAGTACCTCTTATTCATCATACCTCACTTGCTGTCCTGTGGCTTTCCTTCTCCCTTGTTGGGCTGATGGAAGGTTAGGGTAGGGGGTGCAGGCTGCTGTGGGCCTTCCCACCCAAGAAACATCCCACCAGGTCTCATTCACTTGGCCTGGGGGAAAGGATCATTCTGGGGTTTGGAGAGGGCTGGTGGCCCTCACCGAGGTGGCTGTGGCTGCTGCCATTTACTGCTTTCCCCACTCTGCCTGGGTCTGGCCAGCCCCTGTTTCCGTGTGCCTCTAGCAGTGCTCCTGGGGATCCTCTTATCCCCTTTCATGTTCCTACAGGGAACTGGTGCTGGCTGCCAAATGCATCCTGTGCTGCTCCTTGCAAGTTGCACCTGGGCAGTGCCCATAGCTGGAAACCCTAAGGGCAAGCTGGACATCAGCATGCTTGTGAAGCACCCCTAGCATGGGGTTAAAACAAAATCAAGGGTTATTATTGAAAGCTTCAAGCAGAGGGCAGGAGGGCAAGATGTGCAAAGGCTTCAGCATTACCATCAAACAAGGTGACCCATAGTCTATCCTGCGCTGAGGAACAAGGGAGCCTGATGCAGCAGGTGTTAGGATCCAAGGCAGCTCTTCTCCGCTTCTCACACAGCAGCCTGTAGTCAGGGCAGTCTCCCTCAGAGCTGTAATGCTGGTGCTGCTTGTGGCTGGCACAGGGCACAGGGATGTGGGGTCTGGGGCAGTGATACCCTGGGAGGAAAAGGGTGAGTGTTGAGGTGATGTGAACCTCTGTGCTGCCAGCATGCATAGACTGGATAAGTTGTGCCTGTGCAGCTGGGCGTATCTTCCAGGAAGCTTCTCCTTGGCTGCTTCATGGATGAGGGGAACTTGCTGTTCCCCTTCCTATGCCACTCAGGGGCCATGTGGCATCCAACTGCAATGGCCAGTCCTGGTCTGTGCAGGCTCTCCCCACACTCGCATGCTGTTTCAGCCTGGCTGGTTGCACTTTGAGGCTAAGGAGAAGTGTGCAGCGCTTGGGGGATTTACATGATGGTTTCTGCATTGGTTTTAACAGTAAAAGTTTTACCACAGTAGTATTAAACCTTTAAAAGAGAAGTTACATAAACCCGAGGATGTTAATTAATAAAAGTAAGCTTGTCAAGAGTAGTGATTAAGGTTAAAAAATAATTCAAATGAACTCCTGCCCAACAGCTTCTGGTATTTGGCATCACTTCTTTGGCTGCTGCTTGGCAGTGAGCGTTTTCAGGCATGGAGTGTTGGGGTGCACACTAAGGACGTGGATGCCTGGGAGGGATGTGGCTGTCCTGCTGCAGCAGTGATGAAAGGATCAGCTCTGGCAGGGCAGGAGCAGGAGAAGTTACTGCCAGCATGGGAGGTTTGGGAGCTGCATCTCCAGGTGTTGGGGCTCCCTCCAGCTCCAGGGGGTGTTTCAATGTGGCTTCACTGGCAAGTGAAGGCCCCTGTGTGTCCCTGATGGAGGGGAGAGGGCTGGCACCCTCCTAGTCCCAGGGACTTCCAGTCAGGCATTGCAGGCATTGTTGACATGAGGGTCAGGTTGAGGCCCTGCTGCTCTGAGGAGGAGAATGGGGCTCCTGGCCCTTGAGTCTTGTGGCCACCACCCATTCACCCTCCTGAGCGGACCAGCAACTGTCTTGCCTGTCCTTGCTCTGTGCTGCTAGAGAGGGGGATAATTACACCCTTTGACCTGCTGGCCACACTTCTTTTGATGCAACACAGCATACAGTTGGCTTTCTGGGCTGTGAGTGCACATTGCCAGGTCATGTTGAGTTTCTCATCAGCAATACCCCCAAGTCCTTCTCCTCAGGGCTGCTCTCAATCCATTCTCAGTTCCAGGTGCACGATCTTGCACTTGGCCTTGTTGGACTTCATGAGGCTCACACGGTCCTACCAGCCTGTCAATGCCCTTCTCTTTGGCATCCCTTCTCTCCCCAGCATGTCAACCACACCACACAGCTCGATGTCATTGGTAAACCTGTCGATGGTGCACTCAATCCCACTGCCTGTGTTACTGACAAGCAGTGCTGGTTCCAATACCGACCCTTGAGGAAAACTACCCGTCACTGATCGCTTAGGCATTAGTGCATTTGTGCTAGCTCTCCCCCCTCCATAGATCTGAAATAAGTATGTAAAACTGAATGGGCCTGCGGGAGTTGGTACAATGGACAGCCAAGAGCCCAGGGCTTTGGAACAATGACACCCACCTGCAGGATGCAGGTCAAAAAGAATCACCCGTGGCCTGGGATGGGAAATGATGGGTGGGTCAGCAGGGAGCTGCTGAAACAGGCGCACCAGGTAAAGGCAAAGCCTATTTAAAGCGCAACTAATTACGTGTTACGGGAGGAAGGAAATACGGTGGCAACGGCAGTGCTGAATGAACAACGGGAGCTTTGTTAATTAAGGACAATTAACGGTGAATAACGACGGCAATGGAGCAAGCGGAGCGGCGGCGCTCACCGCACCTCAACCCAACGGCGAGGGCCCGGCCTCGGGGCGGTACAGCAGCGGGACCCCCCCGGTCCGGTCCGGGACCCCAGGTGCCGCGCCGGGAGGGTGGGGGGTGATGACATCATCCGCAGCGAATCAGCGCCGTTCCGGGGCCGCGGCCCCGCCCCTCCCTCCCTCCCCGCCCGCCGGAGGATGCTGCCGGTCCCTGTCTCCGGTGCGGGACCATGAGCCGGGCGGAGGCCGAGCCCTGCTCCCGGGCGCTGGCGCAGGCCCGCGTCTACCTGGGCCAGCTGCGGAGCCGCGTCTCGCCGGCGGGCCCGGAGGGCGGCGGGCGCCGGGATTACCTGGTGGAGGCGGCGCGGCAGCTGCGGCTGGCGCTGGAGCGCGACGTCAGTGAGGACTACGAGGAGGCCTTCAACCACTACCAGAACGGTGTGGACGTGCTGCTCCGCGGGGTGCAGGGTGCGTGAGGCCTCCCCGGAGGGGAACTGGGGCATCCATCCGGGGAGAGCAGCCAGGGACCGGGGCATCCCTCCAGGGATTGCGGCCATGGGGGCCAGCGATCCCTACTGGGAGAAGGCTGGGGGGACCACGGCATTTCTCCGGGGAATGTGTCAATGGGACCAGGGCATCCCTCCTGGAAGCGTGTCAATGGGACCAGGGCATCCCTCCTGGAAGCATAGCAATGGGACAGGGCGTCCTTCTGGGGAGCGTGACCACCGGGGCATCCCTCTGGGGAGCGTGGCCAGGGGACCAGGGCACACCTCTGGGGAGCATGCAGCCTCTCATGCCCGCCCTCTGCACTGCCCGCAGTTGACCCCAACAAGGAGCGCCGGGAGGCCGTGAAGCGGAAGATCACGCAGTACCTGAGGCGTGCAGAGGAAATCTTCAACTGTCACCTCCAGCGGGCTGCAGAGGGCAGCAACCCCGCCGCCACGGTGAGGGGCTGGCTTGGGGTGGAGTTGGGTGGGATGACAGCGGATCTGTGGCACTGGGGCACCTGGGACACACACACACATAAAGCAGCCCCAGTGAGCCTCTTTGACTGCCTCTGCCAGATGCCACCATAAAGTGGTGTAGATAAAATGGCAGACATGTCAGCTGCAGTGTCCTGGCATGCTGGTGGCTGTGAGGGAACTGACAGCCCTTCACCCTGCCTGGGTCAAAGAGCTGAGGTGTGCCTAGCTTGTCTGGGGTGCTCCCAGGACCCCCACCCTCTGGGGTGTACGTTTAGCTTGTTGCCACCATAATGAAAATGACCATTTTTGGTTGGACTGAAGCTGCCGGGGGGAACCACCTTGTAATGTATTAAAAATATTGTCTTTCCCATCGTTGTTCCCTTCTGGATGGAAACTAAAGAGGGCTCCTTGCTGCACCGTGGAAGGAGGTGGTTAATGAAGTGAGAAGGCAGTGAGGCAGGTAGAGTTGGGGCCTGGTGAGAAGGACGAGGGGAGAAAGGCAATTTCCTTCTATATCCATACAGATCCCCTTAGTGCTGAAGCAGTCTCTGTCCAGGCCCAAATTTTGGAGTGATTTTACATCTGCTGCAGGTGCAAGCTTTCCCTGGAAACTTCAGAAATCCAGGAGCTGGCCAGGAAAATGGTCCAGCTGATGTTAGGGATCAACCATGGCCATGGGAGCATTGCCTCTGAATGTTGACCAGCCTGGCAGTATTGCTACCTTCCCTGGAAAATGCAGGGACTTCTCCTACCCGCTGCCACAGACAGTAACATTTCTATGTCCCTCATGCTCTTCTCTCACTGCCTGCAGGGTTACAGCAGCCTGCGCTTCCGGCCCATCAGGACCCTGAGCTCAGCAGTGGAGAACCTGAGACGGTGCAAAGTTGTGGGAGTGATCGATAAGGTAACGACTCAACCTGGAACTGGGGAGGTGAGGCTGGGCCTGCCCCAGTGTGAGCTGGATCGTCCTGGCAGCTGGGGTGGGGGTGCTGAGACCCTGCACACCCACCAAGGAGCATGAGGGTATACATCCACACCATTCCCACCAAGGAAAATTGGCAGGCAAGGATGCAAGACCCTTTAGGAGTTAGCTGGAAAATCTGTTAATGTTCCCATTACTTTTGCTTACCAGAGCTCCCAAGATATTCACAAGGAGATTAATGCACCCAGTTCTTTCCCATGTATGGAATTGTGCTTGATGCCTAGGTACCTCAATGGTGGACTCCTATGGACAATTTAGACTTCCACAGAATACAAGCTATTTGCATGAATAAACTAATGCTCTTGGAGCAAAGATGCCAGGCTTACCATCTCCATACACATACTGACACACTGCTCTGCTCTGCGTTTACACATCTCAGTTTGTGAGGGCTGATGTGGTCCTCCTGTCCTGTCCTGTCCAGATCCAGGTGGGTAGCTTAGCACACCTCACAGAACCCACCAGGAGCAGCATGAAGCCCTCCTTTGTGAAGGAAGCAAAAGTGGTATGGGAGCCACCTCTTGGTTTTATTAACTTTCTGCTGCATGGCTGCCTCATTGCTGCCAACCTGTGGTTTGTCTTTCAAGAGTAGGGGTTTGAGCACACCAAACTTCTCTAGCTGGGTAGGAGTTTGTTTCAGTTCCAGAGCTGAGTCCCTTAGGCCATTCCTGTAGGCTGTGTGCTGGGGTGGGAGCAGTCACTGTTTCCGACCACCATTGTATATACCACTCCCAGGTGCAGATCGTCCAGGATCCTGCCACTGGTGCGACCTTTATACTTAAGGTAGGTGCTTTCAGTTTCATCTGCCTGCTTGTCCCTGTCCTGCCAGCGCCTCCTTGCCCAAGTAGATGCCTGAGGCGGGTGGGATGACCAAAAAATAGCAGCTCAGAGAGGTGGTGAAGGAAGTTCATGTTCATAAAGCTTCCATAAGTGAAGTGGTTCTCCTCAGTCATCTGTTTCTCTGCCTTGTAATGCTGCCAACCAAGCCTTATGACCATGTGAATCTGGGCCAGTCCCTGAAACAGATCATGGGTGAGGTGGGCAAGGTGTGCTTAGTACAAGTCATAGGGCATGCTACCTTTTCGGCTGGCCTCCTGCCCTGCCATGTGCTAGGTTGCAGGGAGTCCCTACCATCTACTTGTACCTCCTCAGAGCCTCCCCAAATCCCATATTGAGACCCGTGAGCGACAGACCATCATCCCTCATGGGGTCCCCTTCATGGTCAAGCTGTTGTGCTACTCTGTGAGCGAGGACTCCATCTTCCTCCACCTGGAGCACGTGCAGGGTGAGTGGGGACAGCATTGCTTTCCGTCCGTTGAGGCATCCTGCTCTTGCCCCCAATCTCCCTTTCTTTAAAATCTCAAATATATTTCTCCTGCTGCTTTGGGGCTGGTTTTATAGTGACAGCACAAGCTGTCTTATTCATAGATAGGTGGTGGGTATCAGGGCTTGGAGACATCGGGGAAGGAGCTGCTCTGCTGTACTGGGGATTTTGGGGGGTTGGTAAGAGCTGACTGGGGAAGTGAACTAGAAATGGGCCTGTAGAGACCTACAAGGAGAAAGGGGGTGGCGTGTTATATGGAAACTAGCCTTAAGGACAACTGACTCCCATGGGAGGGAAAGGTCATGCATTGAAGTAAAGGGGTTCATGGGGACCAGAGTCTTAAAAAGAAAAACGTCTTCATTTTACTGGCATTGTTTGACCATGACAGGAGGGTGATAGAGGAGAGCCAAATGAGGTGATTCACTGGGCTGGTGTAGAACAAAACAATCTTTTTCTAAGAGCTTTATAAAACTTTTTTGTTTTGTTATAAGAGGTCACACTGGCTTTTGAGTTCACACCAAAGAGAGGAAATGGAGAACTGGGGCATAAAGGGGTTCTGGTACAACATGGAGGTAAAGTTGAGGCTTGTCCCAGATCCTCGTAAAGAAGTTTGATCATGTGGAGGTTTGTCCCAAGAAGCTGCTTCACTCTCTGCTGGTTCAATGGATGTGTAGAGAGCAGCAGCTGGAGTCCAGCAATGACAAATGCAGGCTGATGTGCTGGAGAACAGCCTCAATCCTTGTGCACTCCTGTAGGATGAATTTGCAGACAGCAGCTGAGTGTAGTGAGGTTGGGAAGCCCTGGCACGGTGCTGCGGGCTCAGGGTTCGCTGCTCTCTGGCTCATCGCTGACCCATGGACTCTGTGCCGTGTGGTGGGAGCTCTCTGGCACCTCTGTCACACAGGAGGAAAGTGGGGATGGCAGTGGGGTCAAGGGCATGTATTAACATGTGGTGGAAGTGGTAGAGCTGGAATCAAGGAGACTGTGTAGGATGGGCAGCAGGGCTGCTACAGTGGTATGCTAGGTCCCAGGGGAGGTTGAGCATGGTGTGTGCGTGTATTCTGCATGGACTTGAGCTCTGCTGCAAGGGAGATTAATGATGCTTGACCATGTCCCCAGTGTGTGGACCATGGCCTGTCCCTGTCCCTGAACTGGCTGTGTCTGCAGAGGGGGAACCAGGGATGCTTTCTGACTGTTACTTGTTCTCCTCTCTGCTTTCCAGGAGAGACGTTGTGGTCTCACCTTCGCTCCAAGTACCATGTCCAGCAGGGCTCTGCAGATTCAAGCACTGCTCAAGCCCTCAGGGACCTCGGCAGGGAGGACGGCGTGGGAAGCTCCCAGAGCAGCAGCCAAGTCTCCATCTTCTCTGCTCGGACAGGCAGTGGTTTCCCAGGCTCCACAACCCACCGAGTACCGGGAAACGCTGACGCTTCGCCCCCTCGGGAGCAGACTCCCATCCCCACGGACCGTGTTGCAGCAGCACCAGCCAAAGGCCCCAGCCACCTCACCAGCCAGGGCCCGGTCGTCTACCCCTGGGACTCCCTAACCAGCAGCACCGGCTGTGTGTCAGAGAGCGCGGCCTCCCAGCCAGGCCCCCGGCTCCCCCAGCCCGTATTGAACACTGCGAGAGAGGCCCAGCCGCCACCTCAGCAAGTGCCTGAGGTCCCTGGGGCTCGGTCCCTCCTGACCTCGGGTCGGAGGCAGCTTCGTGCAGGATTTGCTCCGCCCGGCTCTGTGCAGCCCCGCGGGCCTGGCCCGGTGGCGCGGGAGCCCTCGCGGGAAGCCTACGGAGGGCTGGGCCAGCAGCCGCCATCAGAACAGTGCCGGGCTTTGGCTTCCTGGGGGCAGGGGCGCAGGGCATGGGCCGTGCGGGAGGAGCAGGTGCGGCTCTGGGCAGCTGAAATCCTCCTGGCCCTGGAGGGGCTTCACCAGCAGGGCGTGCTGTGCCGAGACCTCAACCCCAGGAACCTGCTGCTCGATGCGGCGGGTAGGTAGTGCGAGGCTGCTGCCTGGAGGAGGAGGTTGGCTTCCCCGCTGGGAGACTGCCGTTTGCTCCATTTCCAGGGCACATGGGCTTCCTTCAGTTTGCCTTGTGGGAGGCGGGGAGCCTGGGGAGGTTTGGGTGTTTCCGAGCCTGGAAATGTGGTCGTGGTTGGGATTTCCAAGCAGTTACAAGACTTGGCTCTGCAGTGAGAGAGTCGGGGGCCGTAGCCACAGGCATGCATTGCCCCTGCGCCCAATTAGGGGCTGGCTGCTGGGAAATCCCAGCATGGGCAAGACAGATGAAATCGGCTGAACTGTGCCTGAGGTTAGTGGAACTGCAGTTCTTCCCTGCTTGTAGTTACGATGGGGTGTTTTGGAGCTGTCTCATCACTGGGAGCCACGGGTACCACTGTCAGAGCAAGTTCCTGCTCAGCTGGTAACACCTGGGGCAAACTGCAGAGGCACAAATTGCTTGAGAAAAGAAAAATGCAGGAAGCTTTGCAAGGGTCAAGTTATCCCCTCACCCCCGTAAGAGATGACTCTTTCCTCACTACAGCCTGTACTGAGGTCTGTGGGCTTGCTTGGGCAAGCACTGGGAGTCCAGGGGATGTGCAGTGCCAGGGGATGTGCAGTGCCTCTGTGCTCAGGGCATGGCAGGGGCCCTGCCTGTTCCCAGTTGCTGGGATAGTGCTTAGCTTTGTGCTCCAACCAAAGTCCCTGGCTTTGTGCTAATTGCCCTGCTTTTGCCTCTGGTGCTGCCTTGTAGGTCACATCCGTCTCACCTTCTTTGGCCAGTGGACAGAGGTGGAGCCCCAGTGCTGCAGCCAGGCCCGGGAACAGCTGTACAGTGCCCCAGGTAAGGGCAGCAGGAGGTGCCCTGCACAGTGCAGCCACTGGTGCTCCCTGCCTCCAGCTCTAACGCCTCTCTGGCTCTTTCTGCAGAAGTTGGGGGGATTGCAGAGCCCACTGAAGCAGCTGACTGCTGGAGCTTTGGCTCTCTCTTGTATGAGTTGCTGACAGGAGTGGTAAGAGGCAGAGGAGCTGTGCAAGGAGAGGGGAGGAGGAGGTGATGCTGTAGCTCAAGGGCTCCCTGCCATGCAGGTACCGGGAGGGTGCCAGGTTGCTTCAGGCATGAGATTCCAAGTGCCTGTGCCTGGTCTCGGGGTGTTCAGGGCCCTGGGTTTTAAATCCTGCTGTGTAGGACTGGGGATGCATGGCCATGAGGGTACTCCTACCCTCCTCAGTGCCTCTGCTCACCATCACCCTCTGTTTCCTGCAGCCGCTGTCCCAAAACCACCCTTCAGGGATTCAACCTCACACCCAGTTGCATGTGCCAGAGGGGCTCAGCCTGGCTGCTACCTCACTGCTCACAGAGGTGAAGGGCTTGAGTGGCTGGGAGGGAGGACAGGGCTACTAGCTAGTGTCCAGCCTGGGTCACTTTTCCAGAGTCCCCTCTCTCCTCATCCTGCTGTCCCATCCTCTTTCTCTGCAGCTCCTGCAGTACAACCCAAAGCAGCGCCTGGGCTCTGGAGGAGGTGGCATGGCAAAGCTGAAGTCCCACTCCTTCTTCAGCACTATCCTGTGGAACAAGCTGGTGGGCTAGGCAGGCCGTCCCTCCTGTGGAGAGCTGCGCACAGCCACTGTCCCTGGTGGCACCGGGAGCTCTGTCTGCAGGGGCTGCCCTGGGGAGGGCTACACATAAGGTTTTGCAGCCTTACATGTTGTCTCTGCCTGTGTTTGTTGGTGTCTCCAAGGAGGCTGTGGTCTGGGCCTGGCTGTCTTCTCCTCCAGGTCCTCCCTGGTGGAAAAGGGAGCCCAGGTGCTCACCCCTGGAGAAAGGCCATGTGCCCTTTTTCTGGGGCACCCCTTGCTCAGCTTAGCACCGTGCCCCAGGGCGCCTCACTACAATTTTTATCTCTGCTCCTACCACAGTGACCCCCCCCCTTGCCCTGTTATATTTTGTGGCTTCCACGTGCATCACCTCTGGGCCCTGCTGGCTGGAGCCCAAGCCCGGGGCCTGCCCATCCCTGACTGCATGTGCGTGTGGGTGGTGCCTGCTGTGGGAGGGAGTCTCTGCACTTCTCCTCCAGCCCTCTGAGGAAAATAAACCACTTGTTATTGCTTGCAGAAGTGTCCTTTTGTTTCTGACCTAGATGAGCCAGGCCTGGGCCCAGTGTGCTGACTGAGGGAGAGCCCCAGATCTGTTCTCAAACCTACTCTGAGCCCTGGGTTGGTGTTGCCTACTGGCTGTCAGCACCCTGCAGCCACAATGCAGAAGATGGCATCAAGTGCCTGTCCAGCTTCCCCTCGTGCCCCTTCCTACCCATGGCCTCTGGGGTCTGCATAGCCATGCAGCTGCAGCTTGGAGCTGGGAAAATGGCACAGAGTACCTGTATCTTCTTCCAGCCTTGATTTTTGTCTTCATCACCCATGCTAGCTCCAGTTAGCACTTGTGCCCAAGTGCTCCTCTCTGCTGGCAGGATAGCAGTCCCACTGCCCTCCTTGCTCTGTTTTCAGTGTGGTCATCCATGTGATGGTTTAAAGGGATGATGAACTATTGAGAGCCAGCACAGATGGGAGGAAGATAAGAGTAAATACAAACTGTGACAGAAGAAGCAGCAGCATGAACAAAAGGTGTCCGCTAACAGCCCAAAGCAGGGGAGGCTGTGCTCATCAGTGCAAATCAAAACTGTAGGCTGCAGGATGAGCTAGCAATGGCAGTGGTGTAGTTCTGGCCCTCCCAGCACTCACTCATCCCCAGTAAGTAGTAAGGAATAGTGTAATGCACGGGTGCCAGTAACAGTGAGGAATTACTGGCACCAGTGAAACTCTTCTGTGGCTAGCTGATTCCAGCACCCGCTTGCCACAACCACCAGCAGAACCACTCTGCTCCTGGCTGACTCGGCCTGGCTCTCAAGCAGCACCAGGAGCGCTTGTCCACCAGAGGGAAGCAGAGCCTGGTCGAAACTCATCTCCACCCAGCAAAGGCAGGGGACACCTCAAGGGACGTGCAGAAGCAAGTGGGCTAACCAGGAAGCTGAGCACTTATGCCTCAGCAGGAGCAGCTAAGCCTGGGGCCTCCCCTCTCTAGTGCAGCATGCAGCGGCTGAACCCTCGAGCAGCAAACCTGCACCTTCGGCCACCAGCCACCTCATCCTGTGATTCAGGGGAGGTTCAGTAGAAAGCACACCTGCCTCCTTGCAACACAGTGGCATCAGTGTCACCCAGAAAGGCCAAAACCAATGAAGCTCCAAGCATGGCAGCTGCATGACCCTCCTACAGCAAGCAAGCCCCAGCACTGCAGAGTAAATAAAGCTGTTTGTTAGGCTGCATCATTTTAAGAGCTTGACTGTACATTCACTCTCCGGGTAAAGACCTCATTTAGTGCAGCTCCAGACAGAATAGAGGCATTGCCCTTCCCCAGGCTCATATGCAGTCAAAATGGGCCCTCTGTACCCTAAACCGGCATGGAGGGCTGGGTGTTAATAGCGTTCTTAATCAGAACATTCTCTTTCACTCCATTCATTCATGCAAGAGCATCTAGAGTCTTTGTCCTTCCTTTTCAGCAGAGGGGTTTTTCCTCTCCTCCCAACCTACTTCAACCAGGGACAATTGGAGGAAAGCTGGCTCCACACACAGTTTCGTCCATAGCTGCCAGGAAGATGCAGGAACCAGTCCTAGGCACTACTCTCCCTTTGGCCAGCTTGCCAGCTGTGAGTGCAATCATTTTCTGTTACAAGGGGCTGCTTTCTTCACTCGTAGCTGGAAAGGGCAAACCACCCTTCAAAGTTCATGTCAGAGCTGGAAAAATCCTGCTATGAACCAGGAACAATTTCATACTGTTCCAACAGGGACAGCTCCTTGGGGAAACACTCTCAGCACCACAGACAGCTTTTGCTTTACAGTTCTTAGATATTCCCTCCTTCCTCCCTCTGCAACCCAAACAGCCTTTTTCACCATTTGCATGATTTACAAGTCTCCTGTTGTAGCAGGGAAAAAAACTGGCTCCATACCTGCACTTTAAAGAGCCTATCCCAGGTCTCCCTCTTGGCCACCATGCTATTTAGCAAACACTGGGATTTCCTAACCATCTGTAACAGTTCTGTTGCTAGACCAAGAAAAGGTTGATTTCCAGCCCTGAAAACCTCATCTATGCTGGGAAGAGCCAATTCTGTGCCAAAGAGGGTTTGAGGACAGTAGAGTTCACAGCCAGAGAAGCCTCAATTTAGTACTACTAGTGATGGGCCCAGCCCCAATTTTCTCTTTTCTCACACCACCAGGTAACAGGCTTCTTACATCACACTAGGGATGCAGCTGGTGCCCCTCACCCAGGAGCTGCTGCTCACACCACCCCCCTCCAAACACACCCCACCTCGCAGTCATTGCCCAGTTTTATTTCATTTAAAATCCGCTGTGTTAAATATTTTAGTTACAAGTTTTGTGTAGAGGGTAATAGACTCTGCAGGCACTAGCAACTCCCTCAATCCCCCATACATGTGTGCGCTATCAGATTAAGGACTGCCCCCCTCCCCCCAAACCAGCATCCTCGGGCTGGGATATACATTACAGTTAAAGCCCAAGCCCTCCCCAGCGCTTTCTGTGCTGGTAGCAGGCCAAGCCCTTGCACACAGGAAGCCAGCAGTCGAATCCACCATCAGTGCGCTGTGATTCAAGGACAGCTGCTGGGGGCTGGTTCTTACCCCCGTGTCAGGCATGTAATGGTGAAAGTGTTGTCCCCCCACAGGGAACAGTGCTACCTCCACAGAGGTCATGGGCTCTGCCCACCTGGACATGAACATTCATGCCACAGTGACTGGGCTGGAGAGAGACAATCAATCTCCAAGGGAAAACAGGGGAGCTGCCACCACTGCGTGCCTGTCTGCAGAGGGCACTGCCAGAGGCAAGACACCTACCTCAAGCCCAGCTCTGATCAAACTCTCTGCTGCAAGCAGCAGCCTGCCGGTCCCCAGACTGCCCTTGCAAGACCCATGAGTGTGAAATATTTTAAAGCAAAACAGGGACATAAGATCAGCCTTTCCTCTCCTCTCCCCCCCAGGAACCTCAGTGCTAGGAAATACAGCTGAACCCACGTTGGGGTGGCAGGGAAGGGTACCCTAGCACAGCAGCAGCGAGCAGTTTCCAGTGGTACAGGACAAGCCAGAGGTGAGAGTTTGGTGCTGTGAGGGAGAGGAAGCCATACAGACAGCTCTGGAAAGGCAGTGCCAAACAGCGGTCGGCCCACTGCATAGCAACCCTCATGAGAAAATGAACCTTTGCTAAACAAAATAGGAAAGGAGGTAGGAGCTATCCCCACAATTCCCTCTGGGACAGCTCCAATCACAGCGGAGGGAGGGAGACTGGAATGACCCCTGCCAGTTCCTGAATGCCCTGCATTGGCCCTGCTGGTGCTGCGGCCCTGCCCTGGGTGAGTTGCGTGGGGGTGAGGCTGCTCTACAGGTCGAGCAGCAGCACGCGGGGATCCTCCACCGCTGCCTTGATCTTGCGCAGGAAAGTCACTGCCTCTCTGCCATCAATGAGCCGGTGATCATACGTCAGCGCCACGTACATCATGGGCCGCACCTCGATCTGAAAGGGAGGAATTAGACATCAGTGAGCTCAGCCCTACCGCAGACACGATGCCCTCCACAGGCTTTTTCCTACCCTGAATCCAGATCTCAGACCCTCTTGGAGGTATCCTGCTTGGCAGGATTACCTATCCACTCACCCAGGCACTGACCATCACCCAGCCTGGGTCCACAGCATACAAGACTAGGTCCCTTTCTGGAGCTGTTCTCTGTCACAAAGGCTACAGCATCCTCCTCGCACCTAAGCAGATTATCCAGTTCTCCACATCACAGACAGGATAAGCACACCCTGCACACCTCAGGCAAGTACTTGTGCCAGCAAAGCTGCCCTACATCCATTAGTCTCTGCTCCTCGTTCACAGTACAGGCTTTCAGAAGTTGACAACAACCCCCTAGAAAAAGCATGCGGGCTACAGTCCTTATACCACTGAGCCTTCTCTGTTCACTGACGCCTCATGTGCAGTTCCACCTACCTTGCCTCCCACAGCCACAGGCCTGTCAAAGATGGCATGCATGCCTAATATGGCAGACTGGGGTGGGTTAATGATAGGTGTCCCAAAGAGTGACCCAAAAACCCCTCCGTTGCTGATTGTGAAAGTGCCACCATCCATGTCTTCAATGGCCAGTTCGTTCTTCCGTGCCTAGAAGAAAAAGTAAGGTCTTAGAAAGCCACACAAATCACAGAAGGCAAAGCATGAGCGTTTGGACATTCACTCTCTCCAGGAATAAATGCTGATGGCAAGAGCTTCACTTATTGATCTGTTCAGATGAAAACTAGAACCAATTACTTGAAAATGTATCCTGTTGTTAGGTCTGAATATTTACTGGCTTTGGGGAAAGATTCTCTCCTTCCAACTCCTGCTTTTGCAGGAGACAGACACAGAGACTTCTACCCCAGGGCAGTTCAGCCACGGCCTCTAAAGACAGATATGAAGACACTAATGCATAGTTTGCGGTCTTCTGGAAGGGCAACAAGTAAATAGGCCTGTCCTGTGAGGCACGGGCACAGCTACAGATGTAACTGGATCACTCCCCACAGCACAAGTCAGTGTGTCAGAGGTCAGAGATGACGACAACAGAGGGAGCGAATCAATTCATGCCTATCCAGCACCCTCAATTCTTCCCACTCCTCTCCACCATTTTCAGAAAAAGCTCCAACTTTCCTTACCTTCTCCCCCAGCTCGTAGATGGCACGCTCAATGTCAGCATAGTTCATGTTTTCTACATTCCTAACAACAGGGACCACAAGACCCTACAGAGAAGCAAAGTGCATAATCAGCTAATTCACTGTGGTGCCACACAGACAACTGGCCTCAGTCCAGCAGCATTCCTGCCTCCTCCTCAGCACACAGCAGGTAGTTGGCAGAGCTGCCTTGCACCCTGGCAGCTGGCTGGGAAACTGGGCATGACACACACCAAGGGCTGACTCCATAAATGAGACTTCATCTTTGCCTTGTAAGCCTGTCCCGTAAA